GTTGGATCCCTTTAGGCTAATTATTGTTAAGCATCCCCATAAGAAAATAATGTTGTCCAAACATGTTTTAAATTTAGTCACAAAAACATAAATATCATATTGTTAATAACTACAAAATGAAGTTGCAGTTGCAGCATCTAGCAGTAATTCCAATATAATGAAAGGTTCAACCATCATCTTCACCCATAAGATGATTATTGTTCCTTTGTCAATGCGGTATTCAACAACATTATTACCCAACAAATACTACTATCATGCTCCCAGCCATGTTTCTCAAACTAATAGGACTTGCAAATTAGGTAAAAATTTAAATTCAAAACATACGCAGAGAAAAAGCCCCAACCATGTCAAGTATTGTATGTTATTTAGCATATCATGTTTTTGTTTGACAACTTTAGGGAAGAAATATCAACACATGTTAGATCTACGATCCAAAAATTCCCAACAATACAATTGAGAGTGCTCAAGGCTTTTTAGATGTTTCAATTTGAAATGTGTCCGGTATTATCTTCAGTTCTTCACTAAATACTATTCCATCCGTTCTAAATTATAAGTTGATTGTTTTCAATTTTTTGGTTCATTCATTTTGCTATGTATCTAGATATGATGTACCAAACAAATCAAAGCAACTTATAATTTAGAACGAAGGGAGTATCTGATGTATCAACACTACTAGACTTCCACAACCTTCTAGTTCCTTAGACTAGATGCTTTGATAGCTTAAATATATCCCAAATATATATAATACTATAGTGGGGTTCTAAAGAACCGCTACTGAAACACTTAATGTATGATGTTCATCTATTTAATTTGATAAAATATATAAGTACAATCGTCAAACAAGAAAATGTTAGTAACTTTTGACATATTATTTAATTTTCTATAGAAACAATTCAATTATGTTGTCACAAAGCATCAGTAGAGCAATGTTTCCACACAGGTACAAAATAAACCAATATCGTCATATTTTGACACAATCCTTAGTTAAAGGAAAAATCCTCTATATGTTATGCACAAATGCTGTAGTAATATCTTCTAGATACGCAAAAGCTTTCTACCAATGAATGATATGTTGTTGGGGCTCTCTTGCAAGAATGGTCTCAAGAAACTTTTTGCCAATGAATGATATGTTGTTAGGCTTCCCTTTCAAAAGAAACCATGGAATGATTTTGACCCCATCACAAAAGTTAGCATCCCACATAATAATATCCAAGTATTATGGGTTTCCCACTTTCCAACATGTAAAAGAAAAATTGTGAATGAATTATATATATGATAACAAGGACATGATTGGATAAACAAGATATGCACATATAGCGGCCGTTGTCCACTCAAGTTTTGGCGCAAAGTTAGACTCGTCTTGACTATTACATGTTCAAGGGTTGGACTCACCTTCCAAACACATTGTAGGATGTCCTCTATATGTTTGGATAGATGCCAATTACACCATTATTATGGCCAATTCAAGACATCTACAAGCACATGGTGTTAGTTGTAATGTCTAAGTAGAAGATGGAGCATTGCAATAAGAGTTACTCTTGAATTTCACATGGTTCCATTAGAATAATAAAGAACTACTAACATTAGTTAACATGTAGCAAAACAGCAGTACGATGTAGCCCATTTCAAGACAAGCAATGATCTTTTACTACTTCTATTAATTTCTACCACATACGATTACGACTAACTTTATCACGATGAACTTTATGATAATTGCTATGGAATGGAAATCTCAAATACACATGATAGCATAATAGAAACGTGTGGTTCTCTCAAAAGATCAACAAGAGCAGATGGGAACAAGAAGATAATAATAACTTAATTCAAAAGTACTAATATGGCTTGTCTTTTGATTACTGACCACAAGAAAACTAAGTCAAGAAGTCAACATTATAGATTAATACAAGCAAACAATGACACCACCACCAATTCATCATTGGTAGTACAATCGTCTGTTGCAACTACAAATCATGTGCAAAGTGGATCTAGGCAAAGGCTGTATTGTTTACTAGAGCCTATATAGGAGCTAGTGCCATTGCTTCTACTTCAACGGACACTAGGGACTGGGAGTGCTTATCTTCACGCGCGCGGTTTGACTCCATGAAGTGTGCGAGATGGTGGCCATTGTTTCCTCATCCCCTAGCACCGACAGGGGCTCAAGGAAGTTTTTTTGGCGACTCGGGGCTCAAGGAAGTTGGGCTTGGCCTTTCCCTTCACAGTCCTTGTGGCTATGTCATACGTGTGTGACGCCTCCACAAATGTCGTGTACATCCAAATCCATATGCCCTTGTTGTCTAGCCGATCAGTGTTCTACATCTCGTACTTCTTGTAATGCGATCTCACACTAAGGTATGAGCAGTTCCTTACAGGAAATAGGGATAGCACCATTGCCTCCTGCTCAGCCCTCACAACTACCATTGCTGCCTCCATCTACCTTACCAACTCAATTAAGGCCCCATCTATCTATCTATCCTCTCTCACACACTAATGGCACACATCTGCTGCTTATAGTTGGCTTACCCTAGCACAAATGTCGAGCAGATAGACTACAGAGATAGGACCAAATTTTAAAGGCAATGCCTCTAGCTTGCTACTGGCAGTCGCACCTCAACTAGCACAATGCGGCCTTGTCATCCCGAACTCCTGCCTTAGCAAGTTTCATACATGGTAGGCGGGCAACGGTGCAATGGGGAGTCTTGTTGCCTCCTCTTCCATTTTTTGCACCAACAAGAGAGTAAAATTCCTTGTTTCTTTGTTCTTGAGGGAATCCAAGGACGGCGTCATAGAACAAATCGCCCTCAACATTTGCACACCATGTATCCTTCTTTTTTGGCAAATAATCATTTCAGACATAAGGAATTATAGGTATGTAAGATGTAAATATATCAAACCACCATCCGTGGAGACTCTTTACTCTTACTACCTTTGTCTCTCCATCAACACTATCATTTCTTCTATTGTATCGAGTGTTATTACAATATGCGCTCGACCCAAATCAGCATACACTCCACGAACATTACAAAATTTTCCTAATTAATATGCATGTATCTTTTTCATTTCCGATACCATGAGACAAATGAGCATCTTTGCCTCACACATAGGCATGGACACAAAGTTCTGCTATGGTAGCATGTCCTTTAGCAAAAACAATGTTGTTGTGAAATTCCTATCAACTTGACCATGAGTTGCTCTCAATTGTAGAAACTTGAGGTCCTTGATTAGGTGTGCCCATTCCTCTACAACCTTGGAATATCAGACTTACTTCTATAATTTAGCAAACTTGTTATCGTCATTATACCCGTCTTGCCCCTTAACATCCTACACCATCCATCAACAGCATATCTAAACCTAATATGGCCTCATCGTTGAGATCATGATCCATATGACCAGTTTGGGGTGGGAGGGTCTTTCACACTATCATAGTTCTCCCCATCAGTAAGACCTTCCTCATCATGTTTATTCCAACATCATTTTAAAATCCATATATGATCAAGTGCCTTGACATTGTTTGGTTGTGGGAAACTTCTTATTGTTCAAATTAGGGCACGCACAATACATTATCATTTTACCTTGAGCATTTATACATGTCGTCGCTGCATCCATGAAAGACTCTAGTCTACTCAAGTACTCTAGACAATAATGGGTCCCAAGGTATATCACACTCCTTTTTGACATCCACAAGTTTGTATATAAACATTATTCCTTCTTATTAACTGTTACTTATCAGAATTATGTGATTAGGTATGCAATTAATAATTTTATATAATTGAATTACATCTATAGGAACTCATAGGAGATTGGGAAAACATAGTACCAAATCTTCCATATATATGACTCCCTTATACTAGGATGAGACAAACATGCAATGACAATTGCATCTCAAAGCTAAAATAGGAGCAAGAGGAGAGTAAAAAAGTGAAAGAGGAAGTGAGTAAAGGGGAGGTGTGGATGACCTTTAGAAGCTTGTGACCAATCCAATCACCAACTTAACAAGACCTTGGCACAAGTCACTATATTGTGTGTTTTCATGCAGTGTGGATAATCCAGATGCAACTGGGTTACTTTAGGTTACGTGTACATATTTATGGGGTTATTAGTTGTATATGTTGTTTTCATGTATAATAGCAGATATGGATAATTTCGTAGAAAATTAGAACTTGTTGTCAATAATAGGATTAAGTCTACAAAATGGATGATCGGTTGTTTTATTTTATTTTGTAGAATCTATAAGTTTTATTCCTTTTTCAAGAGTATAACGTGAAAATTAACATGGAGATTACGAAACAAGTCTCTAATAAGTAACCATAAGATGGGCTAGATATACAAGTTTATTAAACTTTTATTTTCAGTAAGTAGGATCTACGCTTGACTACTGAGACAACTTTTTTTTGCGAATGACTACTGAGACAACTTTAATCTTATCATTGTTAGTCTACTCTTGAAACCTGAAATAATGAATTGACTCAAAAGGATGGCACAAGGGTGTACTATCTTCCAAAGGTCATTTACTACAACATTACAAGAAGTAGAATTGCCTGATATTAAAAAAAATTGGCACAACTGTAATTCAATGATTTTTTGGAGCTTCAAAATTTTGGAAGTGAGCCATGGGCACATTTAATGCACTTAGTTATGCAAATTTGTTATTACTTTGGTTAAAACATTTATATCTAAACTATTTTAACCTATTTATATTTATGTTCAAACTCTAAATCATGCATGGATCTCATAACCATGCCAAAATAAACCATATTGTTTTGTTCTTTCCTCACATAGAAACTATAGCAACGACAAGCTTTATGTTGAGAACGCAAGTATATTATTAATTAGACCATGGCCATCGATCCATCACAGTACATAAAAGCAACACACTAATCCATACAGAAACAAACATTACGATGCAGAGTCGAATTACAGATAGGGGTAAATAGACGACATATAGTTCTCAAAGGATCCAAGAACGAAGAACAATGATGGCCCCATTTCACTGCGCCCCCTCATCAGCGCTGCGGCGAACTGAAGGCTTCCATCAGATCCTTGAGCCTGAGTGGAGGCACCGCCGCCAGACGCGCTGCAGACGAGGTGGACGCGCCGCCGTCGCCGGGGGTGAAGTTATCCTCGACCACGGCCTCACTGTCAGAATCAGACTCGATGATAATGACCAGCTTTGGGTCGGCGGCTGCCGAGGCATCGACAACCGCCTTGTTTTTCTTGTTAGAGCTGCTCAGTGCGCTCCTCGCTGCATAGGTGGGCATGGGCACCTCGGGCTCGGGGCCGATCATGGGAGCCATACCATAGAAGCCTGCGCCGTTGCTTCCACCAGCGGCGGCGGCGAACGCTGGACCTGCAGCTGGACGGTACATAAACTGTGAGAACGCCGGCGTGGCTCCACCATGGTACGGGACCGGGGGCGGCCCAAAATGTGGTGCCAGCTGGACGGAGAGCGCCTGACGCTGTGCTCCGGCGCCCACCGGCGCCGGCTGCTGGCCGTAGAGCGGCGCACGCATGCGAGCGTGCCCCACCAGCGGGAGCACCCCGGCGTGCGGCGCCGGCTGCTGGCCGTAGAGCGGCGCACGCATGCGAGCGTGCCCCACCAGCTGGAGCACCCCGGCGTGGGCGGCCGGCACGCCGCCGCCTCCCCCTGCCACCGGCGCCGGCGCCGGGGGCTCGGGGAAGTTGGGCTTGGCCTTGTTCCCGTGCATGATCCTCGCGGCGGCGTCGTACGCGTACGCTGCCTCCTCGGGAGTCGCGTACGACCCGAGCCACACCGGGCGGAGGCCCGCGGCGTCCATGATCACGGCGACGTACATGTCGCCCCGCCTCATGACGCCGCGGTACCTACGCACCGGCAGCCTGGCCGGACCACGCACCCCTCGCTCGGCCCTCGCCGCGGCCGCCGCCTGCCTCGCGAGCTCGATCACGCCGCCTTGCATCCTCGAATACACTCTCTCCTCTCAATGCCCGCACAGGCCACAGGTGCACTGCCTCTCGCCTTCGCTGTGCCTGCCGGATGTGCAGCGCTCGCTGATGTGGATCTGTGGCATATAGGGCTCGCGTTCGCGTTCGCGTCGCGTGTGTGCCGAAGGCTGTCACTCACTGCACGCCGCCCACTGGCGTTTCGGCTGGCCTCACGTTGCGCCACGCCATATCGATAGCTTGCCGTGCTTGCTTCGTGCCTTTCCGGCTTTCCGCGAGCTTCTCTCCGTCGTGCCTCGTTATGCGCGCGGCAGGCGTTCTCGGCCGCGACGGTTCCCCTCAAGTGTCCAGCCGCGCCCGCGTTGGGTTGCACCTGCCGGCCTCGGCCGTTTGCAACTCTGCATGCACGGTCAGAGATGGTGACGATATCCTCGCAGGTGCCGCGGCTTGCTTGCGTCGGTGGTCCTCGATCGGTGGGAAAGGCAATGCATTCATGCCCCCACCAACCACCCTGGTAAAACATAAATGAAGGTGGTAATTAATATTGTCATGGATGGATGGATGATGAACAAACATCTTGGTGAGGGTTGAAGAAAAAAATGGAATGTGTGAGATAGTGAGAGAGGGAGAGTTGTCTGTGAGTTTTAGGGTTTTGGAGAAGGAAACATGCATCCCAAGTACGAGGTTGGTGTATCTTAATTTCTCACATCTCCAAGAGATTAGCCAAAAAGACTAACTAAATTTATTGATTTAGCTACTCTCTACAATAGATTTGAGAAAAAAATACTAGTATACTCCAATAGGCTCTGTAAAGGATGGCTAGTGAGGTAGGCTATCTAAAAGTAGAGAGCGAATAAGGTGGGATAGAGAGCTACTAAATTTAGAGAGTCATTTACAGAATCTGTTAGAGACGTTTTTCCTTCAATAATAGCCAAATTTACCTTTAGAAAACGATTTGGCTAGTCTCTTGAAGATGCTCTAACGTAATGCGGTATGATGAAACCGGCATATGATGCCGTCCACGACAAAGCAAGTCGTGAGGATGACGTTATGGATGTTCACGTCGTATATGGCCTTCACGCTCTATATATACTTCTAACCGGCTCTCAACAAACGCATCGACGCCACATCCTCCTCTATCCGTTGCTTTGCCTCTCTATCCGTTGCCTCGCCTCTTCCCCCTTCCATGGGTAAGCCTAGCAAAAAATCACCCAAATCCCTTCCTTTGTGCTAGTCCGTCGCTACGTCGTTGCTCTGAAATTCATCTATTTCTATGATCTCCTTTGGATGGAAGCAGATCTAGGGCTAGAATCTCTACTACCACAAAGGGAGATCTCTAGTACTACCACAAGAAACTATGTGAGGTTGAGGTTGTTCATATTACTTCTAGCCTCGTGGGAAGCGTCATACTGTCTAAAAGCCACGTGAGGTTGAGGATGTTCATGCTTCTAGCCTCGTGGTTACAAAGAAGTGTCATACCGCCTAAAAGCCACATTGGGTAAGAGCTTGTTCGATTCTTTTTTTATTTGCTTATTATTTCTTATATATCTTAGATCTTAGTTGATTGATTGTGGTTTTCCATCAACCAAATATTTTTTGTGAAATCACAGACCTCGCTAATTTTTTTGGTCCCTTTTCTTTTTTATATTAGAAAACAGAACAAAGTCTAGCCCTCATTTTGGGGTATATGGTGGGGAGTATATACTGGAAGGTAAAGGGAAAGGCTGTGGTTTGATTTCCTATAGGAATTTTACACTTTCACCGTTTGTGACAAAAGATAGATCTAGCTTTTCCGCCCTTTCTTAGGGATAGGCCTTATTCAGTACTCCTCTACTTTTTAACTCAATGCATGCATAGTCTCCTGATCTAAGGAAATAATCATGGCTCTACTACATCTCTAAGACAAACTGTCTATCGCTTTCTTTCTTTTTGGAATAAAAACCGTCTATCCCTTTCTTGTCCAGAGTTCTCACGTTTCTCCGCCTCCTGCCATGAAAAGAAAAATAATCTTTCTTACAGAAAACAAGGGAAAAGCTAGCAACTGCCGCCAAACAATAAAAGGCTGCTAAAAATACATTGTGGACTAGTAGTACAAGTAATAAGATTAGTAGTACAGTTTCAAAAAAAAGATTCACTACGGGGTACAGTAAAGGCCCAAAGACACTCGGCAAACGCTTTGCCGAGTGTAACACTTGGCATACAACACATGGCATTATTTTGTCGGCAAACAGTAGTTTGCCGAGTGTTATTTATCGCGCACTCGGCAAATAGTTTGCCGAGTGTCAATAAACACTCGGCAAAAATAAACTCTCGGCACAAAAATGATAACGGGATGGCACGGTGACGGCGATTTTGCCGAGTGCACGACGGAAAAACACTCGGTAAAGTTTATCCAGTTTACCGAGTGTCACGATCAAAACACTCGGCAAAGTTTGTAAACTTTGCCGAGTGTCATCTCCAAAACACTCGGTAAAGTGCTAAAGTTTGCCGAGTGTCAAGGCCAAAACACTCGGCAAAGTTTACACATTTTGCCGAGTGTCTTGCCCAAAACACTCGGCAAACAAGCGCGCAACGGGTAGATTTTATGGTCACTTTGCCGAGTGTCCATTTGAATACACTCGACAAAGACAAAACACTCGGCAAAAATGGTTCCCAGAATAACAGAAATTGGTTTCTTCGCCGAGTGTTTTGGCTCGACACTCGGTAAAGCGTCTCTTTGCTGAGTGTTACACTTGGCAAAGCGACCAAACCCCCCCCCCTTTTTTACTAATCTGTCCCGTATAACGGACCCCTCTCAATTGACAATAAACCATCACAATTCACAATAAAGGTCACAAACATAATTATATGTCACAGACATAATTGTATTTCACAGGCATAATAAACCATCATCACAATTCACAGTAAACCATCATCACAAGTCACAACTAAGTCACAATAAGCCACAAAAGGTAAATACAATCACTGCGGAGGCCCTTGGTACCACTGTGACAAATCTGGGTCTTGAGACCGATTATTTGACGCCACCGATTGATTCTGCACAAAAGAGAAGAGATTGCATGTGTAAACTGCAGATATAAAAAAACTCACTGTAATAAGAAAGTATAAGTAGTGTCTTCAAAAAATACTTGCACGTAAGTATATATAGTACTAACTTGTATTTGTGCATGGGAAGCTAATAAGGAAGCTTCTAGTCTATTTGATTAAATTTTGTGTGCTGTGCTGCTGCCAGGAAATAACTATATATATTATTAAACTAATAAAGTGGGAGTACGTATAGAACTTAACAAACGCAAGAAATTTTACCGATTTGAGACTGTAGTAAGGTGTTATATGCACCTAAGGACTAGCACACCAAGTTGTCACTATAGGCACTTTTTTTATGCTTTTTTTTTGTGTTTCTTCTTGTTATGAACCGTTGAGCCGTACTGTATGAGAGCACCAACATGCTAGCAGATCTTAAAAACAAATGTTGAGATCCAATATATTTTGTATTTTGTTTATGCAAGTTGAAGCCTTGTTTTTTTTTCAATTAAGCTGTATTTAAGTGCCCAATAGGCACGCCCTGCTTGCTAGCTAGTGTTAAACAAGCTGATGGTATTTAGGTATAGATTAGAACATGGGTACATATATCCCGTAACTGTAAAAGTGCAAAATTTGACATGTTCTGTACACAGACAAGTCTGCAGGCGAGAGGTCTTAGTGGTTGATCTTGTAATCTGCATTCTGAGCAGGGTGTTTGGTTCTAGCTGTCTTAATCTAGTACTTTGGTTTTTGTTCGGTTCAGCGTCGACGTGTCAAGACAAGTGAAAAGCTGGTTGAAGGTCTTCTGGGAACAAACTAATCAAATGGAAGTGTATAGAGATGGGTGCTTTTTCTGTATTGCTTCTATGAGATAAGAGATGATAGTGTCTCACAGCCTGTTAAAATTGGGGCACTAGCCACTGCACTTGCTAATGCCCCACCTGATCAGCTTATGGAGATGGACCAGACGGAGGTTCTCCACCTGCTAGAGTTCACAGATGCTCTCAAGGCAATGGTTGCTGAAACCATGGAGGTCCTACGTTCTAGGCAGCATCTCCAGCAAAGCAATGCCTCCCCCGAGCAGCAGCTGGTTAATCTGTCAAGAAAGTCTAATGCACGCTCCTAATCTCTCTCTCTCTGAGGTCAGCACAGAGAAATTAGAGAGGGAGTTAGAGAGAGGTAGGGACTTATAGAGAGAGAGAGAGTCAGAGAGAGGAAGCTGCGGCATCTCCTGCACACAAGCAAAGACTTGCTTTTGGCTGGTCGGCACCACATCCACCTACGCAGTGGTAGCTTCCTTGCTCAGCAGCCATGCATGCTTCTATCCTATCATGTGTGTATACAGGCACTTCTACCACTAGTACTATGCTTTTGCTGCCATGCACGCCACCTCCGTACCCTAGCTTATCTCGCTAATAAACCTCTATAAAACCTCCTGCCATCTAAAGTTCTCACATAAAGTTCTCTAAGTCAAAGTATTCAATCTGCAGTATAAGGTGTCAAGTGACTCACATGAGTAGTTGTGGGTGGCTGAGGTGGAGGGAATAGCACCGGTGGTGGTGGCAAAGCTTGACCCATACTCGATGCAAAATTCTGCATGTATTGGAACATTTGGTCCATCCTCAACCGATTTTCTTCCTCTATCCTCTGCATCGTCCGTCGTTGTTCTTCCTCCATGTGATGCCGCTTCGGCCGCCATCTTCGCCTCCATCTCCGCCATCCTCGCCTCCATCTCCTCCTGTTGCTTCATTTCTGCTTCCACCCGGGCCTATAACATTTCATCCCAATGTTACAATGCAAAGCTAAAGTACGTAACAATCAACGAACGATAAATAAATAAGAAATAATCTGGAGAGCCTCCATCTGGTACTGTGTAGCGGTTGGCCGAGGGCGTATCGCCGGGCTCGCGCTCGTGCTTCTTGCTCGGATCTGGGAGAGGGTGGGAGTAGAGGCTGTGTCAATTGTACTGTCGCCAATCCAGTACCGGCCATGC